AATTAATTTATTCATATAAAACACAATTAATCGTGAACTTTTTCAGGTGATGGAGAGAAACTTTTCGGGTTATTTCCTTCGACTAATTTCCTCACGTGAATTTACACCGTACGGATAAATGTGTCCTGAATAGTGAACTTTATGAAAGATTTTTACTGCTGCGTTTCTACGGTATAATTTGTTCTGGTGTGTGCACAAGGATCAATAACGGCTTTTAGGACATACCATATTTTTTGTACCACAGGCTTTTTGACGGAGCCTTTTTTCTGTCATTGGTAACGTCAGCGGAAGTTCTTAACATTAAAAGACTTGGATAACAATTTAACAGTCCTTAGAAAAGCCTTGTTCGACGTTTCATTTTCTTACATCAAATCAAGTGTTTCGTTTCTATACGACTTTATGGGGATGAGTTTCAGCCACGAGCGCTTTGCATCCGCGAAATGCTCGCAGTATTTGAAAATTTACGTAGCTATAAAGTTCAGTTAGCAAAAGTTGCAAGATCTTTTTTGTAGCCCGACTTTGAACGAGACCGAATGAGAAAGAGAAATTTGAAATGCATATATATTTTCTTTGAATAATCCTTTCATGACAGTAAGCCTAATTATCGAGGTGATAATCCGTGGTGTACTCTCCTTGCGTTACACGTTAAAGACACATATATTTTGCTGGATTTACTGGTATTTGGGTGTTGCATCTTGTTGAGATCCTATTTGATTGATACGTATATATCGTGGGTCTCTGGCCCTGTCTTTTCAATAAAAGCTATTTTTATCGCCCTTTTCCCCCACTGAATAAGCTTCCAAGCGTATGAATTTGAATTGATAGCCCTCACGGGGCTTGCTCGTTTCAATTTTAAGATAGGATTGTTTGGCTCTTCCAGGGTGATAGATGTACGTTCGACTCTATTCACCCTCTTAAACTCATTAACATCTCCGTGTGAATACTGAGCCGTGATATCAATACGGAATGCTTGCAATGTTATTGTGTAAACCCATGTATATGTAAATTGTAAACAGTTTATCCATATAAAATAAATACAGTGCCTTTTAGTAACTTCATTTAGAAGAAAGCCCATATTGGTAACTTGCGCTTATAACAATGTAAACGGCAGAGCGGCGCATCGATAGGAACTTTGCTATGTCCTGGCTGTAATTTTATTGAAAAAAAACTGTTAAGAACGGGGAATCCTTCATATCGTATTCTACAGTGTCTTTAATAAACTCTTTCCCTGTGTTACGAGGAGGATCCAGATCATGGCTAAAGCAAGAGCAGGGCTGGTATAATAAAGCAGTTTTTCATGAGTGGCGAGCTTGAATTTAGGCGTCTGCACAAACGATGTTTACAGCTATCTTTCTTATCTAAGGAAAAATCTCCACAACGGGGAATTCGCGCGCAAGCCATAAATTCGTTCATGTGCGAACTTCCTAAAACGGAGAAAATGTGAAAGACGCTAAAAGCGATAAAATATTCTGAAGGTCGCTAAAGGTGCATGATTATGGTAGCATACAGGTCACACAAGGGCATCAAACAATTCTAAGGCGATACATCAACTGATGGGCAAGGGTGGGATTCGTATGCGAGTTAGAGTTTTACCGACGTGTGAACCTCTAAAACTGGGAAAAGGGAAAAGAACGTCAAAACGATAGAGTAACTTAAAGGTAACTAACGGTGCAAGTACGGATAACTTAGAAGATATGAAGTTGTGCGCGAAAAATTATGCGCACGATTTGAAGCATGATATCGGTAAAAGCCTGATGACCATGCGAGAGTTGACCCTTAGAAAGGGAGAAATTCAACCTATGCCAAGCCGGAGGGACATGCATGCACAACGCGTGAAAACTACGAGAAGGCTAAACGCGCGCATTTTCTGGTGCCTTCCGCTGCAGCGTCCTAAGTGGCTCAAGAACTAGAAGCTATAAGGTATTCCCGGCCGAGAGTCGGTTCCGGGAAACCTTTGTGTAATCATAAGCATTAAAAAAAAACTTATTCTCAGGTAGTCCTAATAATCTTGCCTGCTTTGCTTGCTGTTCTGCATTTCCTCTACTATATCTATTTCAGCAGGTACTCGTTCTTTACTGTGCATATGTGCAATGATGCTCGAACACTATTCTAAACTAGGGCCTTTTTCGAGAAGCGTGATATACCGACTGTCCGTAGAACAAAATAATAGAGGTACATGAGCTACATTGCAATGTGCTAGCTGCCGCCTAACACCAGAACCAAAGATTATTATTATTTGTAAGTCACATGGTTGATCACTATGTTGCATGTTCCTGAGTAAAACTTTAGTTTTCTAAAAGCTTGTAAATGATGACCGGTTAAGTTTACTTCAAAAGAGATGAGCTCAGAAGGACAGTTTCGAACTTCGAAAATCAACGCTTAGTGGTCAAATTCTTCATAGGAAATCGGTAAAACCATTAAGCAAGGAGGCCTTAAGCGAGAACACTGTATGGGCATGCTGCAAACGTTTCAACAACAAAGATTGGAGTTTTGAAAACCAGAAAGAAGATAACCAGATTTCGAAAGCTGGAGGACAAGCACGCATTGTCTAAACCGAAACGGCTTTTCACAAAAACAGAAATTGAATTGGAAGGGCTGTTTTCGGTCAAAATTGGCAATTCGCATGTAACCTATTGTGGAAAAACAATCCAGACACAGAACAAGCGGAAACTGAGTGAAAATGGGTCCCCCATGAATTAAGAGAAGGCCAGTTGGAAATGCGTGTGGTGTATTTGGGGAACTAAATTTGACAAAAAACCCGCCTGGAGCATACGGCTATCGTAGAATGACCATGCGAAAAATAGCGTCGTCCTGGAACAAAAATTGAGTTCAATGCAAGTGTTGAGTAGGTTTGGACTTAAGGTGATTGTAGCATTTGTAATAATCATTAGACGCATCTGGTACACAAAGGACTCATGGGTCGTTACCATGGCAATTGAAAGCACGCTGTCTCTGTCACTCGATAACAATGTCAGATTTCATCGTCATGGCTGGATTACTACGGTAACACTCCCTGGATTGTGTAAAAAAAATATCCAACATTGGCTTTAATTCGCTTACGTCCGATTTAAGTTCGTGTAATTACGAGGCTTTCCATTCCTCAACAAGGTGACTCGTCAGCGAGCATATGCCTTCATCGATTTACTTCGAGAAGCTATAGACAGGGAAAATACATTTCGAAGCTCGACAGACTCGCTTGCAACAGCCTAATACTATTGCCAGTTGAACGTGGATATGAATACATATATTTTGATCTGGTTCGGCGGTTGAAAATCAAGTGAAAGTTGAAAAAAAATATCGAAGTTTTATATTTGATGATACTTGTAAAAATCTGCTTTGACGAATACAGACTTTAGCTAACCGATACTTCACGCTTCAATTTATGCTTTAATAAAACGTACGCGGAATACTTGCGTAATTGTGTAAGTTCTACTTAGCACCAATAGGGGTTTGAGGTTCGGAAAAGATGCGTCTTGCACATTTGCCAGATAAAACGAGAGAACTACAAGGTGACAGAAACGTCATCTTGTAGCGCTCTCGATGTAGGGTTTCGATCTAGGTTGAAGCTCTGTTGCAGTTTTTGTGGATAGTAAGTTTGATTGTACATTTGAAGACATACCGCTTTTGATTGTGGCTATTGTCTATCGTTCTGATTCTCCTATAAAGTTTTACATGCTGAAAATAAGCTCAAAAGTTCAATTGATAATTTCAGATTAAGCTAACACGTTTAATCACGGACAAACGTTTTGAGCATTATTTCGTTAAAGACGCTTGTATTTGGCGTGCCAGATATATGTGACCTAATTATATTCAAAGATTTAATTTTGGCGAGGGTTAAGCTTATTATAAGCTTGATGCAGAACATCTCGTATATTAGTCACAGGTACCTTTTTCCTTGAACGGGTATTTAGTCAAATTTATTAAATAATACTTTTACATAAAACAAAAAAAAAAAATCATACTGCGTGAAGCGCACTGCCACTAGTAAACTTTTCATTAAACCCCGTATATATATTTTTAGAAAGCACCGTTTTAAGCCACAAGGGGCATTATGATAAACGGATGAAACCCAGAATATGATACATCGCCTTCCTATCCACTATCTAGATAGTCAAATCATTTTGGAACGAAAATCATGGAATGGTTAATTGGCTACTTTAGTATTGGGTGTGGCTCATCCCTACCTCTGTGATGCGAACTACTTTGAGATCCTAATTGTATTATGTCGGCTTCAGTTTTGACCATATCTCAAGTTAAAGCCCAATGTAATTTATTTCTCTCCTAATCGAAGCGTAGCTTAGACACGCAGTCATTCAAGACCCTTCGATATTTGCTCATAGAATTAGTTTTATTATAACCATTATTCTTTTAATATTTATTCTTCTTCATCGATCAATATAGCTATTTGACGCTAACAAAGGCCTACGGCTGTGGCTGCACTAGACTAGCTAGCTGGCAGGCCACGTCTGGGCCAAGCAGCTGTTAGGAATAGCGCTGCTGACACATTGCTCTAAAACACATTTCGTGCGAGACTTTTTCTGTTTTTTTCAAGCTGTTTTGTTTCTGCTTGCATTCACTAATTTGAAATACTGTTCCTTGTAAATTCCGCCTGTTATCCTTCAGGAGTCCAAGTGTTTCAGAATGCGCATACGTGAGTAAGAACGAGTGACCTAACTCTGATTCTGACCTTATTAACGCGCTTATTTTGAAGTTAGCAGTTAACGTACATGCTTTCAATACTATTATAAATAATCTAATGCGTTGTTATATTTTAATCTCTGTGACTGGCTAATTGCAGTGCCATGAGAAGGCTTGATGTACTGGGTCCTGTCTTACAACGTTTTCTGTGCAGGTCTAGTGTAAAAGATATAACGTATAATCATTCTGTTCACAGTATGGACGATACATCTCACCATTATTTGATAAACAATGTATGCAATCCTTCAAACATGATATACAAATAATATCAAATATTCCAGATCTGATATCCTATTGCTCACCTCGCTGACTTGGCCGCAATGTCCGTCTCCTGAACCGTTGCTAGGAGAGGAGCGTAGTTTGAACTTTCTCTTCTGTCGATCCTTAAAATCCTGAGTGTCCTCACCGCTTGATTCACAGTCTGAGAAGGACGAGCAGCTCATAAGCTGATCGTCCTTAATATCATTGCCGTCTTGGCCACCGTCTGTAACTTCCAGTCCGCAGCCGTTTACTTTCTGATCTCGGTTGCCACTCAAGATGCGGATACCTCCTAAACTTTCGATGTGCTGGAGGAAGCCCTTGGACAAATCACCGTCGTCCATGACACCTCTACGTTGCGTATCGAGTCTGCCACACTGTGTACCAGTGAAGGATCGGGCGTAAGAACAAAGCAGCTTCCAGATCGGTGTAAAAGGTCCTCCGCGGCGGCTTCTCGGAATATCCCGCAGGACGAAGATATTGAAGGCGCACTTTGCAGTAAATACTTTGTACAGCGTGTATCATAAACTGTTTAGAGTAGACTTTGAAAAAAAGTGGTCTTCCAAGGTAAGGCTAGACTAGCACGTATGCCGATACTCTAGAACGGACGGGTATTTTAAGTATAGTGCAATAGGCGGCTTCCCTCTAGGCAGATGTCCTCTTGTTTCTATTCCATGCTAGGTGTCCTGCATCCGCTTCAGTTGGGCGGTGCTTTGCTCTAGCTCCTCCCACTTCGATTCGCCGAGCGCTGCTTGGCTCTCGAGTCGGCCGGGCAACTGGCGCTGCTACCGGTGGTCCTATCACCACTAGCATCCCTGCACTGCTGCTTGGCATAGAAGGATAACACCGCAGGCACGACGCCTTCCCAGCATCCCCCCGTCCGTGCCTTGAACGTAGGGAAGCGTAAGGATGGCAAACCGCCACGTTGGAAAGTGGAGGCTGCAGAATTGCAGGCTTTGTTGCGTTCGTTACGAACTCAAGAGGAGGCTGCTGCTCCGATGATCACTGGACTGCTGAACGCACGGTGAGAACTTTGACAGATGGCGTGCACGGGCGATGCTTCCCACGGCACCACGTAGAAAGGAAGCTGCGCAGGCAGCTAGGCCTATTTGCCCGCATCATGTGGCGGCAATGGGGCGGGGAACGATGATGGCAGACACAAACCTACTTGTACACATACACCTACAGACAGGCAGACAAGGCCCTGGACCTAACCCTACGCTAGGGCCGACTCAGCCCCTGAAAAGAACGAACATGTTGCTTAGCAGATTGAGAGCGAAGATGACGCGAGGCTGCGCAATCAGGGGGTTTCTTGCTGTTAAAGAATCGATAGCAGTTGGCGAAAGACAATGAGCAAGACAACAAACAGTAAGCGAGCGAATCAGAGCGACAGGGCTATTCACGTTGAGCTGAATTTTTGTACAGCGTTTAAATCGAGTTACGAACAATGATATTAAAGAGGCTTCAGAAAAGGGCTTTCTGTCTAATGGAATTCATAGATGTTTTGTAAACACTTTTAGCTATATATGACCTTTAAACCTACCCGAATGAATCGCTGTCCTGTTGTTTGTCTAGCTAGTGAGCTTCACTTACGTCTTTTGAACAGCGTATACAGGGAAAAAAGCATATGGTATACAACTGAAGAAACATTGGCTTTTGTTGAAGAGGTAGCTGGGCTTACGGAGGAACTCTGACTTTTTTGTATTGTTAGGTTACATGTCCTGTCTATCTCGTATTTGGATTTATGCGCAAATACTTTCTCTTGAGTGAATGCAAAACCTTCTAGCCTTAATACTTGAATCGCTATTACTCCGCGCTTGTCATTGCTGATGCTTGCTTACCACATTTCGACAAGGGATCTAGTAAACTGGATATCAACTCGAAATGTCGGAACCGATAGGAAGCCGTCCTTGATGAATTTCCACCCTAACAGCCAATTCTACCTAAGTAACGGTTTTTAATTACATTGGGTTCTACTGGTGCCCTTTAATGCATGTCTTTGAAGTTCTCACCTAATGTTAACTACATACATTGGGGTAAATAAGCGTCGTTTTCCATAGATCCTAATTCAATGAGTGAACCAATGATCCACGTAAAGTTTTCTCCTAAAATCTTCATCGAAAAACTTGAACGTACATAAAGTTTCCGATCATTACTTTTTAGAATAATGTCTTTCCAGCCAGTTCCTCCGTTAATTCGGTTCGATCGTCGACTAGTATATAGTAGTTGTTGGGATTACGGCTGTCGTAGGTGGAGTTTGTTGTTGTTCATGAGATATTATTGGGGGTTCATTGTTTTGAAGTGGTCAGGTTGAATTGGACTTTTTGTCGGAGATTTATTTGATTTTATGAGAAGTTTCAGAGTCTTACGATTTTATGAATATAGGCAGTACTTTATTTTTTCTGGGGTGATATGTCTTCCAATATCCATGTGGCAATGGAGTCACCACTTCTAAACTTACTGGTTTAATGGTAGATTTCAGGGTCTAAATAGTAGTTCTGCGTGTGCCTCAAATATCATTCCATAATTCCAAATTTTTCCATTATTTTTCTCAAAATGGTCCACTATTGTCCTTCCACTTCGTTCGGCAGCTCCATTAAACTTGGCGCGGTCAGAAGGAAGATTTATAAATTATAGTTTTTTTTCTTCCAGAAGCGAGTTACCCGCCATTGTCCAAGACGAGCATTTTAAGATATTCGATTCGTGCAGCTGTCTGCCTTCAGTTATTATTTTTTTGACTTAAATCATTTTTAAAACGTATATTAAAATTAGTAGGTAGTAGCTTTGAAGTAGCGCGGTATGCTCAATACGTAGACGATCTTATGGCGATGCAAAACCTTCCATGAATGAGCTATTGCTTTTGGTGAGGTGTCGCTGTGCTTCACACAGGTTGAACGACTCTGAGTTGCTTTTTTGAGACCTCGTCTGACGAGCTATCATTTTAGCTGTATTCAATTATCCTTTATGTGGCCCTTGTGTCCAAATTTTTTGGCTATGTAGATTTCATGGCCTTTAAAAGTAACTTCATAAATGCTAAAGCATTCCGTGGGTGGTGCTTTGAAGTACATTTGTAGTTTGCCATATTTCGGTAAAAGTTGAATAGAACTTGCGCATATTCATCCTCTTGAATTTCTGGTCCCACGTTTTCTCAAGCGATTGGTGTTGGTTCCCATCGATCTATGAAAACGATTTTTGTTCCCTGGTGATGCACGATATTAAATACGTCCATATTCGATACTATATGTGAATCGTGAGGGCGACAATATTTAACGTTGTGAGTGAGACGGGGGGTCAAGCCTAGAACTGTTCTACCGGAGGCAAAAATAAATAATGGTGGCTTGTTATTCGTAACTTATGTAAATTTTTTCTGTGCAGGTAGATTATACATCGACGAATGCCCTCTTTAGTAACCAAAGCTTCACGATCATACTACACGCATTGTTAGAGCGTCTTTTGCTTCATTTAATATTCTTAGTAAGTAGATAGCCTTAGGTCCTTCTGTTCGATCCGGATAACGGCGGGACAGGATGCCAAACGTATCATAAGGTGAAGCATCTGAACTACTGTTACCATTTTATTTGGGCCGTAAGATACCGAGTGCTTGATCCGCTTGCTTTTAATTTTTTCGAAAGATTTAATTCTTTCCTCGGTCCAGTCACATCATGTCTTTGGTTAGAGTAACTCATAACGCGATTCTGATACATCAGTTATCCGTCGAACGAAGGGGGAGTAGGACTGCAGAAGGTTTAAGAACAAACGTGGTCTATTAGCTTTCTCTGAATTTGGGGCTTTCACAGATGAGGCAGTTCTTCTCGAGCATTTTGTGATTCCGTTTGCTGATTATTTGAAACTACACATAGTTTTACTTCATATTGCATTGGTTTACACCATTATTTTCGTTAAACCATTCTAAACGGTGTACCGCTTCTTCTGACCAGCTGAGGTGTCTCTCCTCACTGTTGTCAACGGTAGTCAGCTCGTCCTAATAGCCGATAACTCCTAGAGTTCTCGATAGTATGTATGGTTTTCTGCCAAATAGAAACTTATTTAAAGAGTCTCATAGGTGTCCTTGTAAAACAAGAAAACAGTTTTATGGGTGTTTAGTACAGGATACTAGCGGCTTGCTTACTTTATGGGATAACGTATATGACGCTCCAAGCATTGATCCACTTCGATTGTCAACTACTTCTATAATTCAACGAAGTGCGTGTATTAGTTTCTGCGCCGCAACCAACGTAGAGACCGACAGCGCCATTTGATCTTCCCCCCGGATGTGTCCAGTCGTTATATATTATAAGTTATAGTATTCCTTGATTAACTTTTTCTCGCAGTTCGTGTTGTGTTGACTTAGTCGAAATACGGTTTGCGGAAGTTCGCCGCGAAAGTATATCAATAGCTGAGGTATCTAATACGTTGTCGATCCTGAGCATTGCAATTTTCCTAAATTTTTCAATGGCAATTCTGGATATTAATGTTGAACGTCTCTATCTATATTCTTTCTATGTTTGACTTTCACGCTAACGTATGAGTGTAATATCAGTGGCTTGAAAGGCTGTGAATATAGGGAACTTTTTTAGAAAACTGTAGAGGGACATTGTTGATACTTTTGTTCGTATATCAACTTCTATTTTCATATTTTAGCTTTCAACCACAGTTGAGGGAGACAATGGAGCAGTGAACGCATGAGCAAAAAATTCAGCACCGGTTTGTTGAGTACCCAGTTAAAGAACCACGGGGTCCTTGTTGAGATCATTCGGAATTGTCTTCTAGTGTCTGTGTGATCCAGTTATAGTGGTGAGCTTTTCCCTCAAGAGCAGTGACGAACCTTTGATTACCATGTGCTCTTTCTGGAAGACTGTTTTGTGTTTAATTCTGTCGAGTAATTTAATTGGAAGCACAGTTCTGTGGGTGTTATCAAGGAGAAGTTGAATGAAGATAAGTGGTGGTTCTTTAATATACATGTAACTGTAATTTACGCTAGCTGTTTGGACCTAAATGTGCTATAAATAGGTCAGCGTGATGCTCTACCGTGTATTGGAGCTTGGGATATATATGTAATTCTACGTCTCCCTATCTTTATCGAAAATTGTATGAGTGGTGTTTGCTTGTGCTAGTTGAATCTTGACACTCGTAGACGGATTCATCATAGATTTAAACTCCTGAAAAGTAATTGCCTTTCCTTGCCGTGTCCTTTCCAAATCCTTGCAGCCGATTAAGAACTCTGTGTACCTCTGTTATCCTGTTCAGACTAGGGTTAACTGTGATGTTTATTCATATAGATACTTTGAATAAGTGGTACTACCTACATTTTTCTTTAGAGCAAGCATTTTGATGTATTATAGAGGTTGAACTGTTATATCGGGAGTCATTTTTGGTTGACGTTCCTAGTAAACGGCAGGAGCACTGAAGCTATGAAGGTGAGACAAATCTACAAAACCAAGCATGTACAGTTACATAGTGTTCGCCTACGGTTGTGAATGGTTTGATGGGGGCCGGATAGTTGATACATTGTTAGGGCCGATTAGCTTATTCTTTGTATTTGTCACCGATATTACAAAAAGATCTATATTAATTAAGGACTAAGTTGAGTAACTGACTACTTCGATAACATCACCAACGAATTAGTCCTCTTCAGGGTGTGATTACTCTGTGGCAAATGAAGCCTAAGCTTCGCGCTTGTATTAAACATGTTCAGCGGTAAAAAATGAAATTGTAAGGCACATTAAAGAAAAAGTAAAAGGAGCACTTAGGTACTATTAAAGATCACATATATTAGACTGGGCTAAAAATCCGGCTACTAGCTTACGTGAAACTGCCGAGCATGACCATTGAACGTCTACATTCTTCCGGCTTTCCTGAGGTCCTTCAACCAATAGATTTGAGGTGAGTTTTTCATTCATTCGGTACCATGTAAGCGACTGATTGGTCATGGGGGCATTGTGAGAATTGTCGTCATCTGCAGGTTCATAAGTCGGTATTCTGTATTTACATAAGTTTAGAAATTCCGTCTTTGTCATCAATTTCTATTGCCCGCCTACTCTGAAGAGGGTAGAAATCTACATGCGATTATTATTATTCTACTATGGATCTCATGGTTGAATGATGTTAATGAATCCTACAGATACGAAGATCTAGTGAAAAAATTAAATCTTCTCTTTTATAGGTTTGGGCGATGATAGTAGTATACATGCGGGCCTTTAACAGTTTTTCTCTTACAGAGAAAAACATTTTCTTTGATAGATATCAGCAGTAAGATTATTCAACAACCAGGATCCTCAGACATAATATTTGACACAATCTTTAGAATGGTACCTATTTTAAAAAATATAAACTTGTTAGCTGTCCACAGATAAAAGTGAGCTACGCATCTGTTTCGACACAGAAATGCGTGTATATTTATGAGATGTACATAAAAAATTTCCTACTGTGCTTTCTGTATTTTATTACAGACGTTCTTCAGTATAAGATCACACGTTGACCATATATGCAGCTGCCTCTGAAAATATTCCCTTCTAAGACCGTACGAGGTGGTGGTGGCCGTTTGCAGCAGTTTTTGAGGTTTCGGATTCACGCTTGAGACTAGAATATATATGAATTTAAATATGCATTGTACTTCATAGGGCCTCTTGGAAAGATGCTTCACAATCATTGCCATCTAAGTATTATTACAGATGTTACCGAACATTTCTTTGTATAACATTTTCTTGTTTGTAAATAATAACCCTTCAAGGTTTGTTCTGCTCGAAGCGTTGAGAAAAGACTATGGCGCGCTGTTGCGGGGAATTTTACTTTCATAGTACATTTTGTTTCTTCATCACAGCGTGTTTCGCATCATTTCGGAACATGGATAAAAGGTCAGTGCGGTGCTATATATCCTAGATCATCGATCGATCTAACAGATTAGAAGTTATTTTCCAAAGTGGATGATTCCCCGCGTAGCGCAGATGTGCTTGACCCACTTCGATTGATAGACACTGACCTCGTATAGCCCTTAGCGCATCGTCGTAAGCGACTCGGATTCGGAGTAAGACTGATTCGTAGTTATTCTCCTAACCACAGTTCATCTGGTTGTTTAGGAGAAGCTCTCTAGAAATACGGCACGTGCAATGGAACGCGCATGCCTTAGCGTAGCTTCGTAAGGAGTCCTGAGCTGAGCGCTTCGAGGCTTCAAATACGGATCTGTGAATGTGATATTGCAGACCTTAATTCCGCTAACAGCTAGAACTGGGATCATATGAGAGTCGTAACTCAACGTCTGTGATACCGAGTGTTCAGCTTAGAGTCGATGGAAGTTTTCTTTGTATTTTGTTGTATGAGCTCAATTTTCGCAGCCTTATCGCTTTCACTTCAGTGGTTCTTCACGCAGCCAAGCTTACAAGCCAAGAACTATAAAAATTATTAAAGCAGTTTTCGAGATTCTTCGCGGACATGGTGGCTTCTAGAAGAACTTGTCCACACCGTTATTTCAAAAAAAAAAAAAACAGTTGGAATGAGCGACGACGGCACGTCATAATTATTTAAACTGAATGATATAATTTAGCCGAAAGTCGCTTGCCGATTTTATCGTTCGCCTAAAACGCGTTTATAGAAAGGATGAAAAAAATGTCACATAAATATACACAGCTCGTTGTGATATTTATATGATTCGATTTGTTTCGAAAGGAATACACCGTTCAAAACTGAAAAGGAAAGGCAAAGAAAGGAACGATCGTTTCGGGGAGCCGGTTCTGCCGACGTATGATGAACATAAATTAGTGCACGATTATTTTGATTACGGAATTAGTTATTAAGCGATTTAAACAAAAAAAAAACACATATATGGGAAAAGTATATAATAGTATATATGGGAAAAGTGTATAATAGTATATATGGGAAAAGTATATATATGGGAGAAGACACGGGCCACTTACGACGGCTCATTGTCGCCATATGCAGCCTGGCTAAGTCGCATATAGAGACGACTTTCCTTCGTCTGCTAGGCTTTCCCTGTTAGATAACTTCTTCGCATTTATGTGAATGGCCCATATAGATACAGATCTTTGTCAATCATCTTGTCTTTTTTAAGCATTCTCCAATGTAATAGACGCTTCCAATCCTACCGTGGGCAAACTGCCATGTGTTACGATACGTCTAAGCGGAAGCGTACCTCCTGGAGCTAGTCAAATATTGACACAGGGACATTGCTTTCGTCTTACCTATACACAAAAAAAAAACATTACACCTGTGGCAATTCTGCTTAGAAGTCTGTCATGCCGAACGACATGTTGACAAGCCATGAAAAATCTCGTTTCTTTTCAGGATGTTTAGTCAGCTTATGGGACACTCAGGCTTTTAGTTTTCAGCAAATTATTCAAATCTCATGATACTGAGGTATCAGTCGATGGCCGCGTAAATGCAATTTATAATCTTAGCTAATTCATGAATTGCTTGAAATCAATGAACGATCACGACGGGTGTATTCTCCTATTCAAAACGCCATTCTTCTAACCCGCAAAGGAAATGTATACGGTTCGTTACATAGGGTCGACCCTGAACAGGGCATAAATGTCTCGTCCTGCTTCACTAGCGGTTTAACTCTATGTAACAGTGAACAAACATACATAATATAGGAACGATAAAAAAAAAAAAGGTAAAGCTATTTGTGTTCCTACTTGATGGTACATTGCCTGCAGGCTAGCTACGATAATGAACATCGTCGTCGCACCAACGTATGAAAAGCTTCTATCTGTTCATTCAATCAGTGATTTTGATTATATTAGCAGTTAATGCAAATTGCTACACGTTTTCGTACCGTATCTTTTTTTTCTTTTTTTTTTTTATTCTTTATTTAGTGAACCGTCTGGTGGCATTGTTCATTGCGCCTTGTTGTCTTACAGCTTTGGGCTATTGATTTACTAAGAAGATCATGTTGGTTGCTAATACAAAATGCATACTCAAATGTTCAATGATCGAACGGAAAACGCGACAAACATTATTTGAAGGACACGCCTGAACCTCTTTGTTAGCCTATGTCCCCTTACTCCCGATGGCACAATTTTCTCGTGGCCCTGTCTACATAGACTGGGAACTTGGTCAATACTTTCAAACCGATCTATCTCAATGACAACAATTGTCTCTACATTTCAATAGACATGAACGAGATACGAGCCAGCTTGTGATTCAGCTCATTTAACATTGGATACGATCAGCGCTAGTAATTATCATCAGGCTTAAGCAAGTTTCCCGTATTTTTACCAAGCAGTCTGAGTTTAATAGCCGGTAAGCCTATGATACTCATTTTTAATTAGTAACAAACGGAAATCCAGTAACCGTAACAGCAGTAACTACAACAGTAACTTTGAATGCCAGTGGTCGCATTCAATTGCTGCCTAACCTTTTTTCGACGGAAGGTGGCGGGCTGTCATCGGGTTCTGTTCTTATTATTACAGAAGCATCATGCGATGAATTTATAAACTAAAAATTCCTTATAGATATATAAATCTGGACTTATGTAAGCATAATCAGCCTGTGAACGGTGGTGCATAAACATTGCAGGATTCGATACACGTCCAGTTACTTTCCATAGTATGCACGATAGTAGACAATCTTCGTCCGGAATAGTGAATAAGAATTATCAAACTTAAGTAAGTAAACACCTCGGCCGGGATACTTGTGGGATCCCATGATCACCTCTTGGTGGCTGTTCCTTCGGTAGGTAGGTAGGACGACACTTGTCGGATGATCCTCGGTTCTCTGTTCTTTTTTTGGAGCTTCTATATCATTCTGAAAGATCAGTAATAAATGCTGCGTCATAATTTTGCTTATGAGAGTTTATTACTTTTAAATACTGTATGCTCACACATATTTATTTCTACAACTTGTATGAAAAGCTGACCTAGGCTAGACAGTTTATGGTTCGTCAGTTTGAGATACTGATTAATGCAGGTTTTTTATGTTGAAAGCTAAGGCTATTTATGCAGGATTCATCGCAAGTAAAGAATGAGGCTCACGCAGTAAAATTGTTCAAACCGCTCTGAATATGTTGAGTGACCCCTTTTTCTCTACAGTAGCTTAAACTAAATAAGATAAAAATAAAGTTTCTTGCATTCTCGGAAGCATTTCTAGATCTGAATACGACAGATAAGTAAGTTAATGAGACTGCGTACTAATTCAAGTCATTGACACTATGTAAATAAAAATCACTAGTCGCGCTTAGTTTAATTTCTAGTTGGTTTGACCGAATCGAAAAGGACATTTTTGCCCAGATAAATTTACCACATCTGTGAGGTATTCGTCATCATCCCAGAAATCGTCATCGTCCTCACTTTCCGAATCGTTAACATCAAGTGTTACTTCGGGATCAGGACACTTGTTCCATTCGAAGGAGACACCAAAAGCCAGATCGTAATCGTCCGTAGCAAACTCCCAATAGATGTAGCGGCCATCATCGGCCGTTGGGATTCGAACTGTCAAAATCTCCCCATTGCATACCTGAGAAAATATATCAAAGGCCTGTAAGTTGGCCGTCTTTATCCTGTTCGAACAGCCTAGCACCCAGCATTTTTAAAGAGGTTTATTACAGACCTGAACCGTAAGGACATAAAATTAAAATTCTGAGTATTATTAGTTCTGGCCCGAATGCGGAAGACGTAGTAGCCTAGCACAAGGCGCTAAAAAGAGCGAGAAAATCCCGCATTGCTTTTTGTGATCAAAAGTCTGATATAGACCAGTAGCGTACTACCGATCCATTCTTGATTTACGATAGAGTTCTTAATAACGGAAATAATTGGTGTTTCTCGGAGGGGGCGCATGTTTCATATTACGGTATCTATTTAATTATTTTAAGTCAAATTGATATGTATCTGCATATATATATATATATATCTGTCATGTATTAGGCTATAGTATAAATCGGAACTGCTTCTATAACATTGCCGCTTTCTTTTTCCTCTTAACTATTTGTTCTCCATTGTGATTAATTGAGAGGATCGCGAGGACTACTTGAATGCATTTTTAAAGCAAGACGGCCGGCAATCGACTCGATGCGTTGCAGTCGCATAAATATCACCAGACATCTTCAAGCTGTGGTTTTTATTAAAAAATTAGGAGCTTGGGTACCCATGAACTGAGCAAAGAACACAAACCAAGACGGCTTATTATTGCCTTTTAATCTCGCCCGGCAGCAAGCAACATGCAACCACAATGACAGGTATTTTACCGGTGACGAAAGGCAGTGTTTCTATATGGAGTAAAAGAAGAAATACGTAGCTCTGGGCTGGCAAAATTCTATAAACCGAAATGTGTTTGAGAGGGCCAGGGCTATTAACGCGAATATAACCAAAAAACATCGACTGAATGAAACTGCTCAGCAGAAAGGACTGGATAGACGACAAGGTAATGTCACCTTTCTCCAAGCCTATGCCTGACCGCATACATCAAAAGTTGTCAAAGTCGCCTGCAAGAACCTGAGTGGAAGGTTTTTTTGAACCGATCATGCTCAATAGGCCCTGCGCCCACGAATTACCACTTATAGTTGTACGGATTGCTGTACAATTGACGGGGAAAGGGGCCTTAGAAAAACTGGGAGAAACTGGGCGAACCCTTCAACACCGAGCCTAGATTAAGTGAATAAACAAATTAAAAGGTTGCAGAGAACGACGACAAATATATAATAAATTATGTTGTTTGTAGAATCCAAGTAAAGCGCTGCATTTTTTGTTAGGAGAAGAAATCATCCTTACTTATGCGACACCCTAATTTTACCGTATATATGATTAATACGCTGCCACAGCGACATACCAATAAAGAATATATATATATTTATACATACATCTTAGCATATATTCTGTGATACTATTGCTTTTTAAGTGGCGCCAATGGATAGGCCACAATATATTTGCCTTCTGAACTGTATCACAGATATGTCTACGTGTGATGTCTTAGTTAAGGGAGATAAAATATGTAATCGGAAAGAGGCAAATTATAAGCGCAAATATCGTATTCGCTGTGAGTTTTTGTCTCTCATTGAGAAGCAGCTAGACAGGATTCAAGGTACAGCCTAAAGAAGTAGCTTCCCTGCCAACAAGAACCTAAAAAATCCAGCGTCGATGCCTTTCTTGTTACCCATACTCGATAATAAAAACGACCTCTAAACTCAAGTACTGCCTTCAATATACCTATAAATTGTTTGCACTTCTAGTGTGAGCAGCCAAAGCGGTTAATCGATCCGTAATAGGACCAAAAACGACTCCAAGGATATGATACAACCTGTTACTCCTAAATGCGAAGCCTTAGGTTACTTAGTTACTTGTTATGCTTTGATAATTGTAAATGCCAGGAGAAACGTCACAATTTCTTAAAATTTGCATCTAACTTTGCAAGACTCTTATTTTTCAGAAATTGCCTTATTGTTGCTAGGTGTGACAATAGCACTTAGCCAAATACACCGTTTGATGTAATCCCTCAGATTTTGACAACAAGTATTTTGAAGATGCGCTATTGAATGGGTTCAGGTCAGTCCCGAATTGATACCAAGGCTTTATGACGAAATAGAATATGTAAATGTCTGGGAGAATTTAAAATCCACCTATTATGCATGTCTCTGTCCACATAAACGTAAGCAGTCCTCTTCGTGATGAGCAATCTTTCAGTCACTAAAAAGTTCACAGATACAGGAAAAAGAAAGACATAAAAATTACTTTTTACAGCCGCCAGACATTTTAATTTTGACTTAAAAAGAAGACGACTATATATATCCTACAACTAACTGTACAATCTCTGACTGAATGGTCCTCCTGGACACCTTTTGTAAAAACCGTCGAGAACAGAGGCATAGTGAATTGGAATTGAGCAAAAAACGTTAAGCATAATGGAGCAATGGCAACGTGATCGCTTAACAGTAGAAGGTATACAGGTTTTAATTTCGTTCGAATTTTGACATACAGACACTTTGATTTTCCTGTGAAAGTTCAGAAAATAATATAAATGTATATAATACTCCTTTATGCTGTTAACTGACATTATTCTTAATTAAACCACAGTTTATTTATTTATGGGTTGGGTCTCTTCCTCGACCTTTTTCTGCAAACACTTATCAATCGATGCTCGTATTTTTCTTAGCAGTGCACCTTTTATTCAATAGCGACCGTCTAATATTCGTACGAAAAGACTTCCAATCCATCATTTGACACGATAACTAGGTGGACACGAATCACCTTGCTCGTGACTTCAGTAAGCTTACATTCCAGTTTAAAGTACTTTTTCTATATATAAAGCTGCAATAAAAAAAATCGGTCAAAGTTTCTAACAAACTCACCTTGAGCATTCCAGTATTGCTTGTTTCGATCTCGTGTTTGAACTCTTCGATGTTCCCTCTAGTCCACACAAACGGATCAGCGATAGCCGGCAGCTCGAAAATGTCCTCTTCCTCTGAATCGGAACTTTCGCCATTCGATGAGTATAGGCTCATTTTAATAGCTTTCGTCTGGTGACGAAATAAGTCCGTCTGGTGAGTCTCTTGTTATGCTAAGCCTTATTAGTAAGCCTTTCAAGTAGATGAATTAAACTTAGAATAGAAGTTAAAGTATGCTCTACTAATGACGTTGGTACGGGAAGTAGATCAAGCTGTGGCTCAGATGCATAGTATCCAATGGTTCTCGATAATTTGTGAAGTTGCACATAATGAAACCAAGTTAGAATGCGTACGTTTACTGGAGAAGCCAGACGGCTAAAAAGAGTAGACATATGAAATCATGAAGCCTGAACAAAGTCTTATATTAACAATGATTTTAGCTGTCATCTGAAGAAACATTTTCGGAAACTCTTACCCTTATGGTTCAAAAAGTATCTGATTTTGTCAGAATCGGTGAGAGGGGTAAAAACTTCATGGGGAAAGAAAGAAAGAAAGAAAGAAAGAAATATATATAGAAATGTGGCTCGAATGCTTTCGCAACAGCCGTAAGCAACAGGTTGTGCACTGCCCGTCTCGTTGCCTATACATGGTTCTCTTAACGATACAAACACGGGGTGATTTCCACACACGCAAAATATAAAGTAACAGCACAATTCTTACTGGCTTCCTGTGTTCAGTCTATTGATGTTCCTGTTACGGCAAAACCGTAGCCTAACAAATGCCTTCGTACAGGTTTAGGGATCGTAAGAACGCAAGTACGAGCTGTTCAGCGTCCGTAGCGTTTCAAGGGACCCGATCGAACGTTACTCGACGGTTTCCAGGACAACTGACTCAATAACTTACAGATAACGAGAGGGCTCTTCTCAAAGAGACAGCGTTCAGAACGGTTAATGTGGCCAAATTCATAGGGCAATAGAAGCTTTGCATCCAATGGTCGCAGCCACGACGAACGGACAAACAAAAGACACACTGACTAGATCCCCAAAGTCTTGTCGAGACGCCTGTTATGTCTATTAACATATTTATATAGCACTACTGTTACCATCTTGTTACAGTTAGACGCCTCGATGTACCCCATACATTCTTAGTTCGTCGCACGAAAAGATATCGGTTTGTTTTTATTTTCAGCCATAATTGTTATTCTTTATTTTTTTGTTTGTATTTTAAACTCGTCTTAGGTTCTCAATGAGAAACACTTCGAATCACTCGAACAGTTGTTCTGGTTACTAGAATAGTTGGCTCAAAGGCGTTCGTTCCTATTATTATCATTATTCGTTGGTAAAGTCGCAAAAATCAACACGAAGTCCTTTTGTGGCATAACGAATAGGTTGAAAAAAAGAGAACTAGAGATATATCGATTTAGCATAGAAGTATCTGCTATAGATTAAATAAAATGCTCGCTTCATAAAAGCTAGCAAGAAGGCCTTTTCGTAATTCTACATGTAGGAAATTCTGTGCCTGCATTGATTTGTCGGAGACATTGATGGATACTTCGAAATACTTCAATTGAGTAAATGTGACGTGTCCTCGACTTCCAAAAAGGGTAATTTTTCAGGTACCGCTTAACAAGTAGAAGTAATTACGGTCACACATAAGCTAAATAGTAATGACTACGTAAATTTCGAATACGGTTTCTACAAGCGTTCATTTAGGTGATCCAATTAGCTGGACATGAAAGCCAGGCACCTAAATGTCCGGTATTCATGACAGGCTTGATATTGGCGATCTTGTTGAACTATTTGTTTCGTGGGTAGAATAATATGATTATAATGATGCCCCACAGCCGTCACAACAATGGATTCCTTTTGTGAAGAGTGTTTAAATGAAACCCATTTTACTCCGCTGTGGTGCCTAAGATAAGCTAGTGAAATTCTCTCATAAATTTTATGCTTTAGAAAAAATTAGAAAAATTTATTTATATACATATATATATATATATACATATATATATATATATATATATATATATATATATATATATATATATACATTACTAATATTTTGCCACATGCTATGTAAATAATATAGAAAATTAACGACCATAATGTGATGTCCTTATTATACGTGACCGTTAGATGAGGTGTGTCGTAATTGCTAAATGTACCGAATAAGTTTAAAGCTGAAATCAATGTAACCTCAACGGTAATTATTACTAATCGTGATAAAACTTTCGCGCCGGAACTTTGCAGCTTAAATGGATCAGTCTAACGGATCCTAATTGAAGAAGAGCTCAAAGAAAAGGAACGAAAAAAAAAAAAAAAAAGGCACACTGGTCAATAGTATGTACAGTAAAACACTGCTTCGTATTCTTGTTTATTGAAATCTGGCGCCGCTATGAATGGATTTGTATCGTGTAAGACACGTATTACGCGGCAGATAGTAATGATAGTAATAGTAACACTAACGACAGCGAACGACATTTGTGTGTTGCACAAATAGTACACCATACGAATTGGGTTAAGTGTACCCAATTGGGTTACAGCAAATTCAGCTGGGCTTTACACCCTACAAGAAGCTCTAGGACAAAACTTTATCACACGCTCACGCAGTAGCACCCCTGCTCCATTAGACAGGGTATAATAAAAATATATTTTATTATATGACATATCTTTTACGTATGATTAGCGTTTGTCTCTCTGATTTCAGCCTCCATTTCGTTACATTGGCACCTGGTTGTTTGTTGTTCGTATTGAATTATATGTTTATTTCTAATATGAAAGCTATCGAAGATTTCATTGCTTCTAGAAGTCAATAAGTATTTACTACTTACTACTAGATTGACATACTAATGTCGTTTGCTGCTATCACTTACTGCATGTAAGTTTTGCCATTTTAGTTTCAACAACACAACTTTGCTTGCTTGAGGTTTAGAGTCGTTATGTGTGCTAAATAATATGACAAATAAAGCTAGTACTGATTTAAGACGGTAGGCTACGAATTGCAAAAGTTCCTACAGACAACTTAGTGATGCTTGCGCTGGAAAAAATCACGCATCTCTCTGCATTTTCGCCGTAAAGTTATACATACTCTCGAATCATCAAAACGACTCATCCTATTCGCACATTAGATAAACTCATGGAGAGGTACCGTTGCATCTGATTTTCATATGACTAGTAGTGTTTCTTTTGTGGAATCTGAGCGGAAACAATAGCCATTTAATATAAAATTGCAGGAATAATTACCTATTCGTATCGTAAATCTGCTATAACAATTTACAAACGTTCAACATTATCTTCATATCAATATATTACAATAAACTTCAATATAACTTAATTGATTCAATAAATGTCTCGTCAGCTTCGGTCTCGCCAACAAATCTGCGATGAATCTCCAGGGCGCTCCACAAATGTTTTTCTACGCTTCTTCTATTAGACGGTTCTATTTGTTGTAAACACACAAATATTAATTAAATCTTATTATGATAGTTGACAAGATGACGTTGTGTCTTTCCTTGAAACAACTGCCGAACAACGGTATATGACGACCTGTATATAATCTTCACTGCAGATATGCACACGTTATATAGGATTTGCCAATTCCTAGCACAAAGCTAGTGCTGCTTGTAGGGGCTTACATTGTATGGTAACGGATACTGAGTAGCGCTGCTTGGCATGCATACATATATATATATATATATATATAATGACGTACGCAGACGAGGCATCGTCGAGTTTTTTGCTCATCGTCCGTAGAGGGCCCTACACTCCGCAGGCGATTATTAGTGTGTTAAAAAGCGCGGCTTTGCAAAAATCACGGCCCGTCAGGTCGATATTTAATACTTGTGCTCATCAAATACTTCTGGTAGAAGTGATTCTATATACGTACAATTCTACCAGCTTAGCAGTCTTCGTTTTCGAGTATGGGATATATTATATTGATATTCGCATGTACCGTGCAGTAAGTTAATGGGTCAGTAAAGTTACTCCGTGCTTCCCTTGCCCTTTTGGTCAAACGTTGAGTAGCTGGTCGTCGGAGATTCGGTACGAAGTGCGAACTGACGTTCTGCTTGTCCATGTGAAGGTCCATTGCCACCCTGGCCTGTCTGTATACTCGCAGACAGGTACCTCAACTGTAGGAGCAGCTCGAGGATGGTGGCCATCTCGTGCTACATTGGATCGTTGTCCCTCTCAGTTGCACACGGCATCCTACTGCCTGTCGCCGAAGTTGAGGCAGATGCTGTCCGCAAGTGAACGAGAGCTTTGACCTCGCGAGCCGGCTCCACGGCCGATGGCAGTTCACCACCTGTAAGACTCTGGACGCCGCCGCCATCGTTGCCATGCGGAACGACGAGAAATATGTTCGACGTGGAGTTGTCAAGCGATACTCCGGTTAGGGGTGCGCCGGACTGAACATCCCGTTGACAAAACCGATTGATATGTCCTTCGGATCCACTTAGTTGCGCTGAAACAAATCGTACGGCTTGAGATAACCGACTAATCGACCTTCCTATCACTTGTTTTGGCCTAATAATGGTGCCAGTTTACGGAGGCCATCAGGAAGACGATGCCTCGCCCTAATTGTTGTGCTGTAGCGTATGCGAACGGCCTTTCTTACTCTACCTACCATTGCAACAAATCGTCCCCGTAGACCGACTGAGCGTTGAGCTCTGACAGAATTGCTGTTGTCCTATGCGGTTATGATGGCACATAATGCTCTCCTTCGTATTTTTGCTGGGCTTAAATAGTGCAATGTATACTTTGGGCACAAACAGACAGAAGATCTGAACCGTTCCTGATAGATTGAGCAAAAACGAGAGGGTCACTGCTCGGATGGCGTTGTTCGTTGATAGTACAAACAGCGGCAAGAAGGCCAGCCAGATGACACATGTCGTGTAATTGGTAAATGTGAGATACCGAGCTTCGTTGAAACCATCTGGACACTTGCGCGTCTTGAAAGCATAGATAGTACAAAAACCTGGCCGACAACGATATCAACGAAAAAAAAAAATGTTAGTAAGATGGATTGGAATTGTCTGTTTACACATGTACGGAAAGCTATTACGTTACTGTATATAGAGAACCATAACTGTGCATTACTGAATAGTTGTACCGTAACAGTATTCACGTATTAGTCGAACGGCAACAAAGAGAGTATTTATTTAGGTACCGTTGTGTAGTGATGAAAAAATGATATATATATATATATATATTATTGGAATCGACTACTATGTAACCATTGTAAACATCCCAATGCTACACTGCTTTACTACCCAGCCGCAGCATATTTAGCCGCACTCGCAATACATATTCTACGTAATGTTAACACTATATAGACAAACAAAAAATATTTAGAAAAGATGTTGAAACGTTTAGATTAATACGAATAGGTCAAATCGAGCAATGAAGATTGATAGGACAACACTGCGTACCGTACGACATAATTTCTACAGTTTACAATCAGCACATAGTAACAGTTGACTATTAAAGATGGCGTCAACTACTCACACATAAGCACAAAGGGATAAACAAGGCCAATGAGGTACTTGTGGTCATCAGACCTGGCACAGATAAGTACGCTTTCCTCACGAGTTGGATAAATATTCGTTGGCATCGGAGGGTCATATATAAGCCACAAAGCGTTGACGACTACTTCCACGCTTACCTGCACGTAAATCGGAGCAAGGATTGTTATGCCCAGTCGAAATGCACACCGTAGATTTACCAATGACCAATATCGACAGGTTCATGGATCGTCCTATGTATTGTTATTGCAATCAGTGTTCCTCAATGCTTGCAGTACGTAGTAGTAAATGCAACAAAATCGTCTAGATAACTATTTCGAGACTAAAAGTTGTACTATTTGCCATATTGGAAATGTGACGAATTACTAACCAGTAGAGCGGTAATGAAGAGTTGTGATGTAGGAGAAGTATATCGGACTTTGGCCTGAGGTCCCTTGCTACCCTGGGCGAAGATTCGTGCTATTCTGGACGTTTTTGTTACGATAGCTGCATAGCACATCGTATAACAGAATCCTGAAAAAACAAAAATGAGCTTAATTTTTTTTGTCCGTTATAGGCTCCATGTGGGGGTTGAGGATAGGTCTATGCTGAGATATCAAGTGTATCGGTTTATATCGACTGATTTATATCTTATATATAGGGAAGGAGCTCTACATTTACGTGCTGAAGCGTTTATAGCGACAAATTGCGAATCAAGATTTCAGGTATTAGTGGCTTCTCAACTTGAGTAGTTTGTTGTAAAAAAAAAAAAATATATACATTAAATAATGTAATACTTTGCTTTTGTCACAGCTATAATTTCGTGTCCGAGCAAATGAAATACTACAATTATAAACACATAGTCATATCTAGTTAAACGTTGTGGCCTTATTTAACTCTCGGATTTCTCTTGCCTGAACTACCCTGGAATGACCGAACAAGTAATACGTCATTTGGAATAACACGAGTCGAACTCATACCGAGGAAGAAACGCGTCAGTCCGCACGTGATCGCCGTTGGCTTGGCAACAATGACGAAAGTCAGCAAAAACGATAGAAAGATGCCAAGCAATAGGAGATGAGAAAGCTCGCGGCCTGACGCTTTGATGATTGGGGTAGCCGAGAAGCGTCGGAAGACAAGCGCAATAAATACTACGACCAACATACCTGCACCGAAACGTTTTTGGTTTCATGTTAACGTCCTTAACGTTGCGACAACAACTGGATTTGTTTTACCGAGTGGTGAAATGACCAGGTTGAGAAAACATCAAATCAAAAACATTATATTTAAGGCCGACACGGGCTCCGTAAGGTATATCGTTTTCCGAAGAAAAACAGGACACTTAGCAGCGTGTGAGGATCATGGGCTGCGTTGGCGATTTACTTAACGTTTTTAGTGAGCAAGCTAAATATCGTCAGGTTATTCTTCTTTATGGCCTTATCACTAATTAATAACAATTCTTCATTTATTCCATTCTATGTATGCTTTAGAGTTTTATGGAGTAGATTTTTAAAATTGTTTGTATGATTTACTCTTCTATTTACTTTGAACGTACCGAACAACGAAAACGAAATTGATCCGATTGCCCATGGATTATTGTAGTCAAGGTAAACTTCGGGTATTTTAACACATTTTGTCTTGTCTGGGTTAGGCAAATGGCCAAGTTCACAGTCCTCGCAATGATTCTGGTCCCGGAGAAACTGGTACTGGGTACAATTGCTGCAGATCCAACAGCACGTGTCACCCTCCAGTTTTAGCATAACCTAAAAATACTTTTTTTTTTTGGTTAATTTCGAATCTCATACAGTTTCTTACTGTTATTGAATTGTGCATACGCTACCTCCAAGCTTTACGTTTATTAATTCAGCCTTTCCGAGCAACACCGAATTCGTTCCCGAAAATCGTACGATACGTTCAAATGGATAACATTGAAAAAAGCAATCCTGGATGAGTGTCAACGAACATAAACAAGGAGAATTATATATCAACGAACCGTTACTAAGTAGAAAATATTTGTCGCTGTTTTTCCCGCAAATTCAATATGAAAAAATCTGAGAATTTAAATTTTGCCCAACTTTCTCGCGGATCAGTAGAGTGTAAACAGATCACAGCTAGGTGAAAAGTTCTCATCACACAAAGAAATCCAATATTGTTTTTCTACAATTTTCAATTATGCTTTTCTTTTTACTTGATCACACTTTGAATGAAAAGTGTACGTTGTCGGCGGGGCTTGAACCCCAGCGACCTTTGACTTTTAGTTCTTGTATCATTAAATAATATTTTCGCGAAAATGGTGTTAAAAACGTCAAGGACTGATGCTCTACAGTCTCGTTCGGTACACGTCAATTTAATTTGTAAAATTCGTGTTGAACTACGAAAGCCGCTTCAAGCATAAAAATTAATTTGGTCATGAAAAAGCGGAAGTTAATCCTATAAGTTCAGCTGTTTCCACCGCTTGTACGTTTTAAGTTAAACTATATATATATATATATATATATATATATACATAAGAAAACAGAAGGACGTAACTTACGTCCTTTAACATGAACCGCGGTGAGGTTTTAACTCGTTTCTATACTTCGAAAGGCAACGCTGTATAACAGATAGTTATCTATTGTTGTTAAAATTAGATTGTCAGCATAGAGGACTATACCGAATCATTGGTTTCGTATAATTCAAGCTTTGGTCTAATTTACTTTGAATGGTTTTTAAGCACGACAAGAACAAAAGATTTTTGTGTTCGTATTTGTTCAGTTAATGGGACGGATTAATTGCTTCTCTTCATGTTTGCTTTGTCTGTATGTGTCGCATTTAAAATTATGTCGTAACTTGACGGATATTTAGTTCGTACTCACTAGGAGTGGGAAAAACGTATCGTACGTAGCTTTACGGTCGAATTTGGCACTGTTTTTCGGAAAAACGAAAGCTATTTGTGACGATTTTAATCTCGACATAAAATCCTAACACGTGTTTGTTTGTGTTTTCTCTGAATTGAATACCGAAATCGGCTCTATAAGAGCTAATTCCGTACCATGACCTACGCTTGACCGTGCCATGACTTGTCGATTATGTTCAACTTTATACCTGATCTTTGCGGCACTCCTCTGAGCAATACGACCGTGGGTAAGATTTCTGATCCCACTTGAAGACCATCTCTTCACGTCGCACTTCAAGGTGGTCTTCACCATCGTCACTTGCTATGCACCATGTCCATCATTGAAACAAACAGACAAACAAATTCACTAAACTATTATTTTAATTTCGCTCTGTTTATTCGTACTGGTAAAACAGAACGGACTTTTACGATAATCGTGTCGATTCTGCTACGCTTGCACACTTTAGTAGATTAGAGAGGTATCAGTATGGCACCCCATATACAAATAGCTATTTCATGTAGTCAATCTGAGAAGATCTTGCCCCCATAGAGTGGTGGCAACATTGTTTGATACGCTCGTAAATATTGGTCCTGTTTCGAAACGGGACACAGCAATTGCAGCAGTAAAGACCACTAAGCACAATTTGTATGTTTCCGTGTGTGGCATGCCTCGAGGTCATTAGCGCGAACGATCCAGGCTGCGACAGCGTCAGAACGTTTGCCTCTGCAGTTATAACCTGAACGCCTCCCTTCGGCCAGGTTACCCAGCTACGTAGCCTTACTATCAGGTCGGGTCAAGCTGCTAGACCTACGGATATAGCTAGTATTAGGAAACTAGTGGACGAGGCAGATGCTGCGATGGCAACGAACGAAAAAGTCAGGACTAAGAGGCCGGTGACAATGAGCCAGAGAGCGTATGCGGCATCATCAACATATTCAGCTCTAGTGGTGAGTGCTCATCGTACAATAACTGCGGGAAGTTATTAATGTTGGCCCTCAACGAACAAGTCACTAAGGGTCCAATGGGTGCTGAACTTAGTGAAATATGCTAGATCTTATGAGTGTCGGTGTATATGGTGTGCAGTAATAATATTGATGATGTGTGGGCAATATATGTGGTACATTTACTGTAAAATTGAGCTATACAGTTATTTTTTTTTAGTTATTTTGAAGAAAAAACAAACAATAAATTTGCCGTGAGGTCAAAATTGTTTCGTGATGCGGTCAAAACAAACACTGTTGACAAATGAAAGCGAACGAAAACCCACTTGATTTAATCACGTTTGATAGACCATTAAAGGCTACGTACGATCAAAGGATCCAACGGGTTTCCAGATGAACTCGTGCTTACCGTCGGGTCGCTCACTTCGCTGGAAGTTGATTATCGTGTACCTTCAAAAATGACACTCAACCGTAAATAAAGCACACCCATCAGGTAATTTCGTCAGGCACCAATGACTACTTAATTTAGACGAAATGTGCTATATCTTTTAAATCACATTCTCGTATTCGGTAACTTATGTTCCAAAGCCTATCCTAGTTTCTAACATGCAGCCACGTTTACCACTGGGTTTTCTTTAATAAATTATTCATTTCATTATATCGTCATTTATTATTTTCTCGCTGACATTCGAGGAAACTCTCTCTGAGCAGACATTGACTCTTGGCTTGAAGTCACTCTTAAAGCATTTAATATGATATCTATCAAAGTAGATGCCCTTGTTGTAACCATTTATATTGTTCTTTGAAGGATCGACTCTCCAGTAGTGCATACGTAATCATTAGCGTCCTATGCATTCATATATATATATATATATATTTGTAGGTTTAAACAGAAAATGCAAATAGTTTTTTCCTATCGTTTTCCTAATTTCCCTAGAGTGCAGTAAACAAACACCTAGAATTTTGAAGACGTAAAAGTACCCGTCAGGCGCCAGATTCCTGCTGGCTCGCGACCATTATTTGTGTCGACAAAATGTTACTCTTCTATGACCGACACTGGTATTTAAAATCATTTAATTATTTCCTTCACAAACTAGACTGAAGCTATGTCGTAGCTACAGTTAATTGCTAGTACTATAAGTGTCTCATCAGCAACACGATACAGGTCGTGCTCGGTGCTAACGTTGGTATTGCTGGTTTTCAAGTACATATTCCGTAGCTCATGCTAGGCGCGCTTTAATAATACCTGGGCGGGGCGTCACCGGATGGCAGGAAGCGAAATGGCTTGCCGGACTCATCCTTGAAGGAAACCTTCTCCAGGGATGACTTGAGATAGGTGCCGTCGATTCCAGTCTCGCTCATCTTGTCACACATGCCTGTTTGATTACCACACCTGTCGTCGCAGAAAACGTCAAGGTGGCAACAAAAACAGAAGAAATTTCTATGCATGTATTCCAGTGGATGTTTACAATAGACGTACACCATCCTAATACATCTCATTAAAAAAATTAGCAAAACCGTAGAAAGGATAGATGGAAAACTTTACCTACCGCATGCGGTGAATGTCGTGCAACGCATACGCAAAGGCGTATGCAGCATCGCGGACGAAATGCAGTCCTTTAAATTCCTGCGTCGGTATGGATTTGTTGGTGTTACACCAGGACGTAAAATTGTTGTTGAAGGGTGTTTCGGGGAACTCGACCATCCTACACTTCCAGAATTCTTCCCAGTACTCAGCAAACCAGGGGTTATCTTTGTGCGTGGTTGGATTGAGCTGGCTAACACACAAAGCGAGGACGCCAAACAACATAGATCAACGCTTGCTCCAATCGAACAGGTCACACAATATGCTGGGAATTTGAAACGCTCGGCGGAATCTCCGATATATAATTTTATATATGGGATAATAGTAATTATTACTATTTTGCAAGTGTGATCTTGTACGAATACATAGCGTAATAATGTTAAAAATGTATGCTTAAATGAGGTTCGTACAAACCTAAAATACTCCTTAAAGCCCGCTAAAGCCCTTTGCTTAGGAAGTACGTTGATGGCTCCTTCCACGACAGCTTTCTCGCCATCCGTCTCAAAGAGGGTCTTCAGCCCACCCCAGGCGTCACTGCCAATCCAAACGAAGCGACGCGAAGCCCCCTTACGGAAGGCCGCTTTCATCAGTTTCTTCGCCACCTGTTTATCGGAGAACACGACGACCACTGCAATAGTTCACAGGCACTTTCTCTTAGGCCTAGATTTCTAACAACATAATGCACGAATTCACATTTCATCTAAATGGTTCAGTTCTTGCTCCCAACCAATGGAGGATCGCAGTAGGTCCGGTAGAATCATTCGTACATTTGCGTTACTTTAATATTTGTCTAGTGTGATTGCTGTTTTCTGCACGAAACACATCGACGCAGAGATCGTTTGTGAGATTACTTTTTTCGTATTATGCTGTCAGCGTCTTGCGGTATCATGGCCCCACTTACCCTATGTGACGTAAGGCCCCAACCTTACACTATGTAAATAACACGATTCAATTGGAAACATACAGGACCATTATTATAATTTTAACGATATAATGAGCGCGGCATCATAAGGCATTACAACGATGCTAATAGGAACGAGGTCGACTGTACTTACCTCTGGCATTGCTTTTGTTCATTAAGTTTTGGATAACCATGTCATACTTCGTCTCGTTGAAATCGGCGTTTATCGATTGTGGATTGGAGAAGCAAATGTTGTATTGAGCTGACAGCTCCTGAAGTTTTTCATACCCTCTATTTCCGTAGTCTGTGTCCGAATACACAATCGATACGTATGTCCACCGAAACTCTCTATCAACAAAAAGAAATGTTTCTGTTACTTCCCTAATCGTTGTCAATTTAACCTATTTAGCCTGCCAGAATTTATATAGTGACTTCTCCCATATTACTGAAGGCCTCAGGACTAGTTTACGTTACGGCTATGTTCAACTTGTGTGGGTTACCTCTGCACTAGTTAATTTGCCAAATGTTTACTTTGTGTAGTTCGACCCCGTGTGAAGCGAGGAATGTAGCAAATTTTCGACTTAACGGAAAAAAATAATCTATGTATAACGATACTTTGGTGTTAAGCTTCATATGGTCAAACGATTTATAGAGATATCTTGTTTATTAAGAATGTGAAGTCATTTATATATGAACAATCACATCAACCAAATATATTCGAAGGTGGCCTACTTATAGCCCAGGTAAACGATGTATGCAACATATAAATAAAAGTGAAGTAGCAAAGTGATAACATATGTAACACGTGTTTGTGTACTAAGCTATCTGGGGGGGCACATGAGCGTCGTGGAAGTAGGGCGACGACACTTCGTCTTGTACAAGGACCTAGTTGCCCGAAGCAATGCTTAACGGCAGGACTAGCCACAAAACTCGAAACGTTTTTTAGACGGCACGGTGACTCTTTCCGCGGCCGGCATGAAAAAAATTCAATCGAACATTGGAAACATAGTGTTGTTATCCGTAACGAATTTCATACAGACTCCTGCCATTAAACATGAACCAAAACGTACCTTTCACGCGTTGTATTACAAGCAGAGATTATATTATTCTAGCCAAAGTAACGTAAACCGTTGTATGCTAAAAAGATATTCATTATTCTCACATGAGTATTTCCATGATTGCTTTTGCTTGGTTGGCATCGGATGGTACCGTCCGGAAGAAGTACTCGAATTTTCCTTTATTCGACAGCGTCGGGCTCGTAGACTGGTAGCTGATCTGCGACAATTAGAGTACTAACATTGCATTAGTTAGCGCTAGGCTCCTACATGAGTCCGTAGTCGTAAAAAGTTCTGACGTTTCAGTCCCTTTTAGGCCGCTGCATTGCCTCAAACAGCTTTGCGCTGATGTAGTACACGATAGGCAATGACGCCATATCAGAACTTGCTCTGTGTACCACTACACATACTTTGATAGCAATACGAATTACGAAGAGTACATATTTGTTTTATTATCTGCAGCCTTCGGAAGCATGTATTCTCGGATAAAAACATATGGGTCGTAAAGGTAATGTTGCATGACGTATGCTATATTGATTGTGACGAAATGAATGCGCCGCTAATTTATATATATCCGCTATATACTAATTGAATTAGTGTTTGGATGAACGTGAACGAAAGCACGCAATTGACCCGTAGCGTGCGGACCATGTGTAGAAGGTCGTAAGAGGCATCAGAAAACCTTTTATTTTTTTTTTACGAAATTTCATGCGAAAGAAACGATCCCGTCTTCCTTCTAGCCCTAAAATGTTTGAGGTGGATTTTGAAGCGGAAGCTTCATGTATCCATTTCTATAATATCAAATAAAACTCTTCATTGCCTAGTGGCGACTCGTAAAATCTGTCACAAACTTCTGTCCGTTATAGATCACTGGATTCGATTTAGTGACGGATATATGTACTTTCTAAAACTGCATTTATTATCACGTTCGTGGCAATCACCTCGAAAGTGAAGCCGAGGGTGTGCATCCTCTCACTTTATCACTCACAGGGAAGCGATCGGATCATAAACTGACAGAAGGAACAAATAGTAGATACTCTGTTTTTGGATATTCCATAACAATTCCCTATTTAGTGAGTATTTATAGAGGACGATGATTAGATGTAACAGTAATTACTCTACATTTGTCGAAGTCCACGATGCTACTAGATCTTGCCCAAGCCGGCTCTAAATAAAAGGTCATTTTAACTGGGTTACTCTATTTTCCTCTCCATACGCTCCGTAGCATCTATTGAACGAGCATATTACTCGTAAAGATGCTGCATATGAACCAAGTGCAAAGCTTGAGAACGACTCATTTGTAAAATGCCATATTTCTAGCTAGAACACTTAATTCGATTAAATGTTGATTTTATGTTTTTGTGTATATGAGACATATAATACAATAAGGCAGATGATATATCTATGGTCTTAAGCGTTCATTCTGTAAGATGCAATCTACCTGAGGGACTTTGAAGAGTCGCAGGAGGTTGGCGAGCTGAATGGAGACCGAACTAGATTGTCCTCCAATGATTCCAATAACATTGTTAAATGATCCATTACGGTACGTGGGAATCGAGCCATCGGAGCATATGAATTGTCGCTCAGATTTGAAAACGTTGTTTCGTGCAATGAAACCTGTACTAAGAAGAATACCAGATATCTTGCGAGACCTGGCCCACATTGTTCTGTATCTACTTAAAGTCTATAAAATTTATAAGCTGGAACTTTTTCATCGTTATACCGTTCTTGCACGTGTTATGTTATCAGTATAATTTATACCTGAAATTCGTTCCATATATTTTTCAACGTGTGCGTATATCTTTACAACGCTGCTAGATCTACGGCACTTGATCAAAATTGCGGTGAGTTTCAAGCTGATTTGCGATCAAGGCGGCTTATTTCATGGAGCAAACATCAAAGGATGTCACTAGTGGAAACTGTCACTAAATAACGACAACACAATAAACAGACAAACATGTATGAACAAAAGTAACTTAGGTGCACAAAATAGGTAGTTAAATTACATATATGTGGTTTGTGTATATGAGACAGGGTACACCTGCCTTTTATGAAATCAAGCGACTGCTCTAATGCATAAGCACTATTATCACAGGAATCAAGAGCGATCACCCCGAGACGGACGCCCGGTAAAATAGTTTCATCCTCGTTGATTTTTTTTATTGTATACAATAGCGCTTCCAACTGCAGAACACCTTCGTCCTGTGGCAGCAGACAAAAAAATATGTGTTACAGGTAGCTTTGCTGGCAGATTTATTGCCTTCCTTTTCTAGACAGGATTGTTCAGGTAAATTTCGTTCGTGTCGGCGAGTTCAGCATGCAAACTTGAATATGAATATATTGAAAATCATTCTTGACCAAACGATGCACATAGGGTACACATGTAACCCTAATTAAATCAGCTTCCCCCTGTTGAGCTATTTTTTTTCCAAATGTTCTCGAGAACTCGGATGATTTTCACATTTTCACCAGTAACTTACAAACCTCTATTTGAATTCGACCACACTCATAAGAGGAATTGGCTTCGTGTATGGGGAAAAATGCACCAAGCATAATATCCCCGGAGATATTGGCAGTCCTTTGTAAAGGCCAATTAACAGTGCGGGCCATACACGATGAAGGAGTTTCCAATAACGGTTGTAACGCTAGAAGCCACCACAAAATGACGCCACCCGAATGTAGCCATCTAGGAAGCAGGCCAGTACTTCCGGAAAGATAACAGCAAGTTGGTTGTGACCGACGCCCCCGAACGGATGGCGCGACGCCGTCAATCAAACGTCCAACCATCATGCAAAGAGCATTAACCGCAACATCTCCTGAAAGAAAAACAGAGCAACGCACAGAGATCCCAGTAGCTATTAGAAATTGCGACAAGTGACAATGATGTTCTCACACGCCCCATGTTAGTCAGCTCCAGAAATCGCCAGCTAAAGCCTGCATTTTTTAGAAGAAAACGGTTCCGCAATTATTGCCGTGCTTATTTGAATCCGAATTTGTCGTTCTATTTTTCCTCAAACAACACTTATCTTTAAATCTTTAGTATATGTACATATAAAATCACAAGCAATCATCTTAGAGATGAATTGTTTTCCCAACTGGTTGTGTTACTTTGTAAACAATCTGGATACGCAAACCCCACATGTATCGCGGTCCATACCATCATATATATATATATATATACATATATTTTAATTGCTCTTTAAATAAATAAGCAGAATAATAAAATCAACGTTATATTTAAATTCTAAGTTAGAGTAAATAGAATTTTGCTCTGCTACAGAGAGCTCCAAATAGTTTAGCATTGGATACGCAGTCGGAAATCAGGCGGGCACGGTCAGTTTAATTCAGACAACTTCAGACAGAAAAGCTGCGTGCGAACCGGGTGTAATGAGTTGCATATAAAATAGTCGCTCTTCAGGGTCTTGCGTTTGTAAGATATGTTTCGTATTTTGTATTGCAGATGTTTGTTCGAGTCCCCTTTCCTGTCAAGCTCTAATTATGCGTCTGCTGGTTAGATTCTAGCAAACATTGTTATTAAGCACGGGCAAAGGGTATCTTCCTTGGAGAATTAATAGGCTTAACAGGAAATCGTCTTCGCGACCTTATAGGTGGTACGTGGGCCCTGTTTTCTGATAAATAGTATATAGTAGATCTCAAAAGTAACGTACTAAGTGCGCGGTCCTTAGAGGGCAGGTGAGCTGCAAGAGCCTCTTTTCCGCCTCAAAGGCCACCTACTTTATGAGGCATGTTTTTAGAGACATGGCGGCCTTTTATAATAAGTGTGCCTTGACCTGTCACGTGCCAAATAGCAAACTGGTTCCACTTCAGTAACGCGGGGTCACTGTTTGTTCGTACTTAAACACCAGCAGTATCTTAGGCACCTAGCCCTTAGTAACTGAAAATCTTCCGGCCACGAAGTATTTTGTAGTATTTGGTAAGAAGTAGGGCCACGAAGTATTTGGTAAGCGATATAGGGTCATTGCGAATATGGTCTTAGCGGCAAGCATACATTGCGTACAACTTATATTTTTGTTCAAATTGTTGGGAACAATTGTTAGAGAATGATTGTAAAGCTGCTTACTACTGATATTGCTATGTATACTCCTCACAGCCGTAAAACATAAAGGTTAAACGCAGGCAATTTTATCTCATTCAAGATGGGGCACTCGACGTACCTAAAGGGCCCAGATATATTGATTAAATCGGAACGATTTCTCTCTTTACATAGTTCATAAAAAGTTAATATTATATCAACATTGATAAAACAATAATAATAATTAGTGTGACCATTAATCAAGAAAACTATTATTAAACAGCCTGTTTAAATAAATACACATAAACCTTATTATTTTGTGAGATGACATTTGGACGTGAAACCGGTGACGCAAATGTGAAACCTCACAGTTCTAATTATGCGTGTAACGACATCAACTAGAAGCAGCTCAGCTTCGAACATGGAGAAACGGCTGCCCAGCGGGGCCCTAGGGGTAGTATTCAACTTAGCGGCTGGAACAAGCAAACGGCTAGCAATGTTCTTGCTGTTTATACCATTGAAAGATGTATGGGCTGTACTCACTATCGACTGGTGCGGGTTGCATTTTACCCAGCGGGCCCGGCGCTTGACGAACAGTTGAGTGCAGTCTTTCTATGAACTGCTCGTAAGAATGTGGGTGGAAGTAAATCGCCAAGGAATTCAGGTCAACAGGAAGCAGAACACTGTACTGTGGGGCTTCGCTGGCTTGTTCCTCGCCGCCGTAAATGCCGGGTGGTAGAGGTCAAATCAAAGACGAAACTCGTCAATGCCGCCGACAACTCGATCGTTCGACGCCACCACCGTCGCCGACGTCGGCCATATCTGACAGCCTCAGTGGATCAACGTATTCGACTTGCTTTTACGTTAAGTTGGTTATGGTGCGGATTACGCGTTTGCTGTTTGCAAGAACGCTGCGAGGCGCTATCGGTATAGCTCAAGGTTACCCATATTGACAAAAACTTTCTAGTTTTTTGAGTAAACCGATTTTACCAGTTTATGAATATCCGTAACGATACTAACCCGACCCGATTAATTTGCCCTAGTCGACGGGTAATCATCTTAATATCGTATAAACCGCGCGCAGTATATTTAGCTACAATAACAGTCTCATCCTAGAGTTTGAGCGATATTTTCAACATTCAACAAGACTTTAGGCTAGCGCCCATCCTGTCTCTTTTAGTAAATTTAATCTCTTGGATACTTTCTCCAGATCTTTTCTTGTTACACAACTCCCTGAGACTTATACAATAAATAGTACGTAGTGAATTGTTGCAAGTAAAAAAAAAAAAGCCACCGCAGAAAAATTCTGAATCAAGATAGTTATATCGCGCTACTTCCATTTCACAGACTATCTTCACGAAAGTTATGCAAGCTACATAGTATAACCTGGCCGAGTACGTCTGACCAAGATGATCTGAGTTTAAGCTTGTCTTTTTTCTTATGGAGTGACGTTGACTTGATGCAGAGGTTCTCGTCTAAATGTGAGCTCTCTCCTGTATCTCTTCTACAAAGCCATCCTATTTTATAGTTATTGTCAAGCGATGGATAGAGGCAGAATGTGTCGTACATGGAGTCGTGTGTGGAGTAATTCAGTTGAATAGTAAACTGTGACCAGCAAAACGAGAACAGAACTACGAATCATTTAACGCTGCTTTTGGGCTGGTGGAGGCAAACTGTTAAATCCATTTCCTCGGGGGAGCTGAAGGAAATGGATTTTAAGATTCTATCTTCATTTGTGGTTCCATATCAAACTAAACTCGAAATTGCTCGTTTGTTATTGCTTACTAGCCACAGCTTCAGCAGCGACAATCGCAAAAGTATGGACAACATTTCGAATTTGCCCACAAAGTTACCGTGTTGATTCGACCCAGCAACTAGCGAGCTAACACTAATGAGTCGATTCATAAGGGCGGTACCGCCGCGAGATAGGCTTCAACAAATCAGGCCCATGAGCGCCATCTGGGGTTTGAACAGCGTATTGTTTTCTCGGCTTCCTCTACTATAGACCTGAAAGTGAATAAGTTGAGAAGTGTGTGGGTACGTGTGAGCAAGGGGACAGACTGTGGCGTTTGGTGCCTTACAGCCTCACTGGTGAATCGGACAATATCCACTTTTGGTGGCGTGCTGCGTGCAAAACCTGCGACAATAGCTCTAGACCCGTGGATCGGTGTGGTTTCGTAACGGTTGTGGGAGCGGGATACCTCTAAGAGACAAAAAAAAATGAAAGAAAGTGAACGAAAAGAAGGCTGTGAAAAGAAGAAGGGATAAATCGTCGGACGGTTGAGTCAACCGGACAGTTACTACCGTCACCACGACTCCATAAATTAGGTGGGTTAACCTTCTCTGACTCAACTTATTTGCGCCTCTACAACGATTCTTACTTTCCCCACAGACGACCCTCGGACCACCCAGCTCTCTCCAACTTTGTCCATAACACGTCTTTCGCATCCGTGCTTAGCTTGCGCTATCTTTGTCAGGTGGTGACTAAGGCAAGTCGCTCTGGGAGCCACAATGGAACTGCAACGGAAGCAGCGCATGAAGATACGAGAAACCTGGGCCCCGAAAGGAAACAGATGAGTAGACAGCAGATGCCATCAACGATGAATATCCCTAGACGTTTTGGCGGATCGGTGATAGGACAAGATTGGTTTTGGGCCACTGTCTCAGGGATTTTGTCAGGGATCATTGGGAAATGGAGAAAGGGAACTAAATAGAGTTGAGCCGCCTGTCTCGTGTGGTTCACCAAGTTCAAGTCGACTCTACTGTCGGTGTTATCTATGCGATCGTCTCGCTGCTCGCTTTCGCCCCACCACGGATCTATGCTGGCCAGACAGCAAAGTGCGTTCATGTAGCCACTACTCCACGTATCAAACCCAGCAGCGGAGGTAAACTCACACCTCTTTGTTGCGCTGCTCAATCGTTTGTGGAAGAAAAGGGAAGAACTGGTGTTGAAGAAGCTCTATAAAGAAACTAATCAACTAGCGTTGGTTGATACGCTATCTGACTAACGTTATCGTTCCTTCTGTTAACTATTCTTGCCGCAATCGGAGGCAAAAGCTGAGTGTAGGCAATCGGCTAGCATAAAACAAAATAGCTTTATGCCTCGTTAAGTTGATAAGTACATCCTAAATGAGGAAGGTTCAATGTACGCAATCGAGAATCATCGAAACTAGTGTAACTGTTCGCATTCTTATTCACACGTTACACGTTTTTACGGACCGTACATGTCCTGCGTAAGGGCGGAGAATGGTTATCTAACGACACAAGATACATTCTATTTTAAACCTCGCTCTGTAGTTAACATTGATGCTTCACAATATACAATATTTTTTTTATTGATACAAATGCTTGTACAACAGCCTATTCAGAGAATAGACGATATTTTTCGCTTGGCCTTTATAACTGAGCAGGACCTGTCATCGTGGAAGGCTCGTCAATAGTATAGGTGCTTCCTGTCCCTACATTTTCATTTGACTTCTCGGATAAATAGCATAGTATAAAAACCTACAAGACTGCCCAGCATTATTTTGGGTTTTACTACCTTGGCTTATTCTTGGGGAATGCGTTGCGTTCAGTATAAGCTTGGCGTATTTTTTCTTTATACCTTTATACGGTCGGCAAATGAAGTCTTTTTTTCTTGCTGTAATTTATTAAATTTCTGAGGAAACAACAGTTCTTATTTATTAGAAGTAGATAAGGAATTCTCTTTTAGATTATTAATTTCAAGGGAGCGTGCTTTTTGGTTAGGATTTACATCTAAAGGATGCCTAGAGGTTGACAAGA